GATGTTTATTTCGCCTTAACTTGCTCGTATCTAAGCTTGTGTTTGACTGTTACTTTTGTGATGAATATTTTGTCTAAGTTATGTCTTCGAGCGAAGATATCCTTTCGACCCCTTTGATGGTTCGACGTACTTCGAAATGCATCGGTTGTGCGGAGTGAAGCCCGCATGTCGAGCGTATGACCTAGATCGAGGTCGTACGCCCGCGGCGTGAACTGCCCATTGCGAGCTGGATGTTCTGCCATGTGGGTACTTCAACAGTGGAGCTTGATTGAGGTGTCCCTGTCGGGCATTTTTGTTCGACCTCGTTGGCTGAACGATGTTATGTCATTTAGGTGTAGATCGGGCCCGTACCTTGGCCTGTCTACGTGGTCGAGACATTTCTCTCTGTTGACTAAAGGTGGATGTTCGACGGCGAAAGTCCTCAGTGTTTAAGGGCTTTAGCTATAGTACTGCTTTAGCTTAGCAGCGTTCCAGGGTCGTGGTAACGGTTCTCTGTTTAGTTGCTCGAGGTAATATGCCCCGGTGCCTGTGGTGCCATGGACGCGATAGGGTCCTTCCCAGTTCGTGGCCAGTTTCCCTTCGCGGGAGTCTTTCTGGTTTCTTTGCAAAACCAGGCTACCGATTTGGAATTCGCGTTTGATGACCTTGTCGTCATGACGCAGAGCTACTCATTGTTTTAGAACGGCCTCGCGCAGGACTGCCCCTGATCGAATTTCCTCGACCAGGTCGAGTTCGTCTCTAAGTGCTTCGTCGTTCATTTCCTCGTCGAGAGGCATTTCTGTCCGCCTGGAGGGTTCTCTGATCTCTATGGGGATGACGGCCTCGGTGTCGTATGTTAGTCGAAACTGGGTTTCGCCCGTCGTTGAGTGGGGCGTGGTGCGATAGGCCCATAAGACGCTGTGCAGCTCCTCGACCCACCCTCTTTTTGCTTCTCCAAGCCAGCGTTTGAGTCCTCGCAGGATGACCCTGTTGGCAGCCTCGGCTTGCCCGTTGGTTTGGGGGTGCTTGACCGAGGTAAAATGTTGTTTGGTTCCTAGTTTGGTAACGAAGTTTCGGAACCCGTGGTCGGTGAATTGGGTGCCGTTGTCCGTGATCAACGCCTTTGGGATTCCAAATTTGGCGAGGATGTTTCGTTTGTAGAAACGGAGGATGTTGTGCGAGGTGATCTTCGCGAGGGCCTCGACCTCTATCCATTTCGTGAAGTAATCCACGGCCACAATAAGGAACTTGTTTTGGTAAGTCCCTTGTACAAATGGCCCAAGGATATCCATCCCCCACCATGCAAATGGCCACGGGGATGACAGTATTCTCAGCTCGTGAGGGGGGGGGGGGGGGGGGGCGAGATGCATGTCGGTGTGCTTCTGGCACTTGTCGCACTTCTTAACGTGATCTTTGGCGTCCCGCTGCATCGTCGCCAATAGTACCCCGCTCGTAGACCTTTCCTCGCCAGGGACTTACCACCCATGTGCTAGGCGTTAATCCCTTCGTGTATTTCCCGTAATACCTCGGGGACTGTGGATTCGTCGTTGCACTTTAGGAGGGGAATGGAAAATCTCCTGCGGTACAGCTTATGCTCGAGCACCACGTAGGAGCACGCTCGTTGTTTCGTTGTGGTCGCTTTTTTCTGGTCCAAAGGGAGTTCCCCCTTTGTCAGAAAATTGTACATCGGGGTCATCCAGCATGAAGCGTCTTCGATGGCGTGTACCTCGACTGGGGTTGATGTCCTTTCGATGCTCGGGCGCGATAGGGATTCTTGTATGACAGATTTGTTCCCGTCCTTCTTTCTTGTGCTTGCGAGCTTCAAAAGTATGTCAGCCCTTGTGTTTTGCTCGCGCGGGACATGTGATATTTCTGCTCGGTCGAACTTTCTCATGCGTTCTCTAACTAAGTTTAGGTATTCAATGAGGCTGTCGTTTTTAGCCTGGTAACTCCCTTGGACTTGGGAAGCAACGAGTTGAGAGTCCGTGAAAATTTGTACTTCATGTGCTCCTAGGTCCTCGGCTAGCCTCAGTCCTGCGAGCAGGGCCTCGTACTCTGCTTGGTTGTTCGAAGTTGGGAAGGAGAGGGTTAACGAGTGCTCGATCACTACGCCCTCCTCATTTTCTAGGAGGATCCCTGCGCCACTTCCGGACGAGCTCGAAGCTCCGTCGACGAATATGGTCCACTTGTGCTCTTTCCTTGCGGGCGGGTTGTGAGTGGTCATTTCTGCGACAAAGTCGGCTAGGGCTTGTGCCTTTAGAGCTTTCCTGCTCTCGTATTGAATGTCGAACTCGGAGAGTTCCAAGGACCACTTCAACATTCGACCCGCCATGTCAGGTCGACCTAAGAGTTGTTTTACTGGTTGGTCGGTTCGTACTATGATTGTATGAGCCAGGAAATAGTGTCTGAGTCTCCTCGCCGCATTGACGAGGGCTAAAGCTACCTTTTCAATTTGTTGGTATCTGCTCTCGGACCCTTGTAGGGCTTTGCTCGTGAAATAAACGGGTTTCTGCCCGTCGGTGGTCTCGCGAACGAGAGCCGCACTGATGGCTTCGTTTGAGACGGCCAGGTAAAAGAACAAAGGTTCCCCGTCGACTGGTCAAGACAATACGGGCGTTTGGGATAGGCTTTGTGTGGCGCAACGCCTGTTCACATTCCTCGGTCCATTCGAAGGCTGCCTCTTTACGAAGGAGTTTGAAGAAGGGGAGGGCGTGCTGAGCGGATCTCCCGACGAAGCGGGACAGCGAGGTGATCATGTCGTTCATTACTTTTATTGACTTTTTCGACGTGGGTATCGGGAGGTCGGAGAAGGCTCGACACTTGTCGGGATTGGATTTAATTCCTCGTTCTGTCAGGTAAAAACCAAGGAATTTCCCTGCCTTGACCCCGAACGTGCACTTCTCGGGGTTGAACCTCATCTTACATTGTCTTGCTTGGGCAAAGACCACTTTGAGGTGGGCTGCATGATCGGTGTCTGCTCGGGGTTTGACGATCATGTCGTCCATGTAAACCTCGAGCATGTCCCCGATTTGGTTGTGGAACACTTTGTTCATCATACGTTGGTATGTTGCCCCTGCGTTTTTTAGACCGAAGGGCATTACATTGTAGTAATAGTTGCTCGAGCTGGTCATAAAGGCATTGTAATGCTTGTCGCTCATGGCCATTGGGATTTGGTTATAGCCTGAATAAGCATCCATGAATGACAGTATTTTGTAACCGGCCGAGTTGTCGACCAGCATGTCTATGTTTGGTAAAGGAAAAGCATCCTTCGGGCATGCCCGATTGAGGTCGGTATAATCAACACACATTCGCCATTTTCCATTATTCTTTTTGACTAATACAATATTTGACAGCCAGGTTGAATACCGGGCTTCAGAAATAAAATTTTCCTCTAAGAGGTCTTTTAAAGCTTTTTCAGCAGCCTCTGTTTTCTCCGGAGACTACCTACGTCTACGTTGTACTACTGCCTTAGCGGCTGGATCTATGGCGAGACAGTGACAGGAGACCTCGGGGTCGAGTCCGGGCATCTCTGCGGTGCTCCACGCGAACAAGCCAGCATTCTCGCGCAAGCAGGCTTTGATATGCTTCCTTGCCAGGTCGGGGAGGTCGCTACTGATCTTTACTCCTTTGCTTGCGACCGACGCCATTGATCTTACCGGATCAGACTTGGACCGTCACAGTTGGCTCGAACTGGTTTGAGTGAGATGGGGGGGGGGGGGGGGATACCTGCAAGACACTCCGATGCTAAAATGAGAGACGGAATGGGCAGGCAAAAAGTGTATAGGTGTGTAATAGATGAATACTCGACCCTCTTGAAACAGAGGGTATTTATAGCCCCCAGTGCTGGGCCAAGGTCCCCTCATTGGGCTGACTAGAACTGACCCAATAAAGGAACTGCCAGGTTCTACGTGTGTAGTGGGGCTCCGCACGTGGCCCCCTTCCTGGTGGTGCTCTGCGAGGAATAAGGAGGGACGAAGACGTGGTCTTTCCGGAGCTTAGAGGATTCTATAACGGTTAGGATGGACAGAATCTGCCCTACGGGGAGGGTGCTCGAGCTGGACTCGAGTCGGAATTCCCTTGGTCGAGGACACTGCTTGTCGCGGGCAATGGCAGACATAGCAGCTGCAGTCTGTGGTCGGGCACGTTCGGTGACGGTCCGTTTGTGAGTATTCCTCGAGGAGTTATTTGGATTTGGGCCTTTATCTGCACTTTGGACCAAGGTGGGCCCGGTCCAGAATAATATCTAATTAAAAATATATTTTTATTTTTAAACTATTGATATGATATTATAATTATAAGAATTTTGATTGGTTACATGTAATATGGATTTAATTGTCTGTACATTATTTTTAAATTCTTCTTATTCTCATTGAATTTCACACATATTAATATTATAATATTATTTTCTTTTTAAAAAAAATAATCATTCAAATTAAAAAGTTGTTTGTAATCACAAAGGGTACTAAACTTTTTCTTTCTATAATTAAAATTAGATTACAATTTTGAAAATAATATTAAGCAATATTGAATTTCATGATTTCAACTTATATCTTTTTAAAAATTACTATATCTATTCTTAAATATATGATCTTTTTGATATTTTTTTTAATTTATCTTAACCATCTTTAAATTTAAAAGATATTAACAATTTCTTTACAAGAAAAAAAATAATGAAATTATAAAAATAGTCAACTAGTTTAAAACTATTTCAACTATTTTTTTTTTATAATTATTATAATTTACTTTAAATGGTCTTATTTAGTATACACAAAAAGTAAGGGTAGAAAAAGTATTCCGTGTTAATAAAACCTTGACTTTATACAGAATACTAGTATTCAGTTGGTTCTTTTTTTCTTCCGCTGAATAGAGTATTTGATTGGTCCTTTTACCTATTACAATTAATGAAATAAAACCTGTAGCGCACTAATTTGTGTATTTATTTATATATAAGCATAAGTCCCCTGTTTCGTTTCACCCATCCTCCAAACAAATAAACAAAGAGCTCTTTCTTTGTCACCACCATGGTTCTCTCAAAAACAGCCTCTGAGTCCGATGTCTCCGTCCACTCAACCTTTGCTTCTCGCTATGTTAGAACTTCACTTCCCAGGTAACAATAATCATACACTCTGGTGTCTGACACGTGTCTGTGTCTGTGTCAGTGTTGGTGTCTGTGTCAGTGTCGTATCTCTGTTTTTAACAAATATTAGTTGAATTTGATTATAGATTCAGGATGCCTGAGGAATCGATACCAAAGGATGCAGCATATCAGATCATAAACGATGAACTGATGCTGGATGGAAATCCTAGATTGAATCTAGCATCGTTTGTGACAACATGGATGGAGCCAGAGTGTGATAAACTCATCATGGCTTCCATCAACAAGAACTACGTTGACATGGATGAATACCCTGTCACCACTGAATTACAGGTATATATCTTGTTTACTTTTTTCTATTCTGATCTTTATTAATTTATGGAAAATGTTAGAGACAGGGTTTTATAAAAATAAAAAAAAAGAATTTTTGCTATTTTAGTTACAAAAAAGCAGCATGACTTTTAATTTATTGTAATAATTTTAAACCACAAATTATGTGACTTAAAATATTTATTCTAAGTCGTTAATAATGGAGTACTATAAATTATTTATTCTCTTAATAAAAAATTCACAAGCAGTGTGTTAGGTGTAGATATGGTTGATTATTTTTTGTCGTTGACAAATGCAGTATGGTTGATTAATTAAACGGCTATTTTCCTGGCGCTTTCTTTGCTTTTGTCACTAATTTTGTAATCCAATTGCCTTTTTTTGACATTGCATTAATTGATACATATATAATGCTTAATTTGCTTTTCATTTACATCATCAGTTAATCCGTGAGATTTTTATAATTAATTTATTTTTATTTTAATTAGTTTCAAAGTATTATATATGAGTGGTTGTGATATATTTTATGTATAAAAAAATTTACATTTTCAATTGAAGTTTGATGCATCTCAAGATACATTTTCAAAATATATAGTCATAATAGTATTTTTCCACTATGTGCTAAAAAGTTATGGGAAGCATTAAGATATTTTTCTTTTTTTTTTTAGGGGTGATATTTTCAAATCCTAAATAACGTGAATGTTGAATATCTTAAATTTAAAAAAAATAAAAAACTGAACGTCTTGGTTAAAACAACCAATATGTTATCATCTCAATTAATTGAGTCCAACAAGTCGTTATCTCATTTAGCCTAGTCAAGAGTGGTTTCTGATTGTATTTATTATCTACTCCTATTCTACTCTCTACTCTCTACTCTCAAAATAAATGATGTAATTGATTTATGATTTGAGACCATATCATTTTTTTTTTCTTTTCAAAATGATTTATAATTTTTTTTCTTGGGGTTTTCATCACTAATATAATCTAATTTATGGTCAATTCTGATATCAAGTGGTTTCAATCCCCTCCTAATCGCAATTGTGGAAGATCAAAACAATCACCACCAAACCAATTAACTATTAGTTAAATGACTTATAACTTACAATACAAAGAATGTTGATATATTTATTTTTAACAATTATAATATTGAAAATAAATCATGTTGCAAAATGACTTATTCCTTTTCTTTTTTTACTTTGGGTTTTAAGATTACACATAGTACTAGCAATGATTTATAGGACTGAGCCAAATGGTTTTTTTATACTATAGCTTCAACAACAGTACTAATTGTTTGTGACATTTATATGCAGAATCGGTGTGTTAACATGATAGCTCATCTTTTCAATGCACCACTTGAAGAAACTGAGGCTGCAGTTGGTGTTGGAACTGTTGGTTCATCTGAGGCTATAATGTTAGCAGGATTAGCATTCAAAAGAAAATGGCAGAACAAAAGAAAACTAGAGGGAAAGCCTTATGACAAACCCAACATTGTCACTGGAGCCAATGTTCAGGTACACATATAAGGAATAGCGGTGCAGTTTATTGTCCGTTTGATTTTTCAATTTATATATAAATTTTATTATATATGAAAATAAAAATAGAGTATATATTCAAAATGATATTCGTGTTTTTACATTGTTTCTGTTATTCCATTCTTTAATAGCTTTAATTATTTTTATTTGAAGGTTTGTTGGGAGAAATTCGCAAGGTACTTCGAGGTGGAGTTGAAAGAGGTGAAACTAAGTGAAGGGTACTATGTAATGGACCCTGAAAAGGCTGTGGAATTGGTTGATGAGAACACTATTTGTGTTGCTGCTATTCTTGGTTCAACGCTGAATGGCGAGTTTGAAGATGTTAAACGCTTAAACGATATCCTTGTTGAAAAGAATAAGGAAACTGGGTAAATTCTATAATATTAGCTCTGATCCTTATTATAAGAGTCATGTTACTTTTTAGATTTATTGAATAATTAATGTATCTGATAGACGTTTATATGTGAAATTCTTTTGTAGATGGGACACTCCTATTCATGTTGATGCAGCTAGTGGCGGGTTCATTGCTCCATTTATTTATCCAGAGCTTGAGTGGGATTTTCGTTTACCTCTAGTGAAGAGCATTAACGTTAGTGGACACAAATATGGTCTTGTTTATGCTGGAATTGGTTGGGCTATTTGGAGAAGCAAGGATGATTTGCCTGAGGAACTCATCTTTCACATCAACTATCTTGGAGCTGATCAACCTACATTTACCCTCAACTTTTCCAAAGGTATGTAACACCTAATTAGAATACTCAATAATAGAATTTGGATCCATGATCTAGCATTGCTGCATTCGCGTGATGCAAATGATTATTAGATCAAGATCAGACGACTCATATTTGAATTTGTATATCAAATTGAAAATATCAAGCTGAAAATCAAGATTTCTTGAGTGTCATGAATCTGAGTACTTAACAAAACTATGAAATGCAGGTTCTAGCCAAGTTATTGCTCAATACTATCAAATGATTCGCCTTGGTTTTGAGGTATTAAAACCTACCAAACATACCTTTTATATATTTAACATAAATGTTAGAAATATTCATATTTTTCTTGTACAACTCTTAAAAACCATGTGACATGTGATGTACTAATTCTTTGACTTAACTTGCTGCAGGGGTATAAAAATGTGATGGAAAATTGTAGAGACAACATGATAGTACTAAAAGAAGGACTCGAGAAAATGGAGCGCTTCAACATTGTGTCGAAAGACGATGGTGTTCCTCTAGTTGCCTTCACATTGAAGGACCATACAAACTTCGACGAATTCCAAATTTCGGACTTGTTGAGGCGCTTTGGCTGGATTGTTCCGGCATACAGCATGCCTCCAGATGCTCAACACGTAACTGTTTTACGCGTTGTCATAAGGGAGGATTTCTCGAGAACTCTAGCAGAGCGCCTGGTAGCCGATATCGAGAAAGTGTTGCACGAGCTCGATGCACTTTCAGCGAGGATAAGGATGATAAGTAGCAGTAGCAGTGTTACGGTTCTTGAAGAAGTCGTGAAGAATAATGGTGGAGTTGTGGCAGCTAAAAAGAGTGCTTTGGAGACTCAAAGAGAAATAACTGCGGTTTGGAAGAAGTTTGTGTTGGAAAGGAAGAAGTTGAATGATAAAATGAATGGCGTTTGCTAGAGTTGGTAGAGTTGGTTTGGAATGGAACAAGGCTGTGTTTGCCTCTATATTTACCTCAATAACTGATTATTTTTTGTTTTGTTTAGGAAGTTATTAAGTACATTGTTATTGAGTTAAGCCATTTCTATGTTTCTCTTGTTGAGTGATTACAAGAAAAACTGAATTATGTTTTCATATTTATATTTTATAAGTATGTTTTCTATATTTTTGCAGAGTGAATCATTTACCTTTTTATGAATTTTGTTCACAATATACTCATATCTTCAATGTTTACAATGAGGAACATTCAATTTATTTATAAATGAATCTTTGTATCTTACACAATTTTTAGCTTCTTCTTAATTGGAAAACTCAAGACTGTGTTAGCTCCTGAAAAACATTTCCATTAAGGAACCTGTTCACACAATTATTATGTGCGGATATCTATGATTCCTCTTTGTAGCCTGTCTAAAATCTTAATACAAATTCAATTTATTTATTTATTCTTCAAGTTTTTGCATTTATTTCTGTATTTAAATTACAAAAAGCAATTAGTTTGGTCTCCTATTTCTCCTTTTCCCTTAATATCAAAGTCAAATGGCAAAGTAGAAATGTGTGATTAATTAGATTTTTAATGCAAATATTTTGGATTAACGTTTCATAAGAACTATAGTCGGATATGAATCAATCTTACAAAATCGATTTATAAAGTGAAAATTATCTTCACCTATAAATATATATTCATATCGTATATTATTTAATGTGAGATTATAAACATACTAACTCTCTTGTCTAACACTATTAAATTTGTGCGTCAATATAAACAATGAGTGATTCGATAACGAAAATCTAATAATAAATTATTCTAGAGATCTTAAATCAAACTTTGATATCATCTTAAATTCGTAATTCAATGAATTCGGTTATAAACATATATTTAGACAATGCATAGAAAAAATGTATTTCAATATATTTTAAAATTGTGACTTATAATATTAAAATTAACTTGCAAATAGAGATAAACCTAAGCTTAATAAGATTTTTACTAATGAGACTAAATAAATATAAATATTACTATTTACAGCCTATTAATTACCTCCTTCAAAATGGTGAATGAATATCAATTATTTCAAACTTGCAAATAAATTGATTAAGTCATTCTATTATTTTCTAACACATCTTTGACTTGATGCCTAAAAAAATATATAGTAGCTATCAATTCACTATCAAACTTTTCTTTAATAAAATGTTCGGTCCACAATTTATTTTATCATGTCATGTTGAACAAGATAATGTTCAATACTAAAGGTTGATTTATTGAAACATAACAATTTCATAATGTCTTCACGCTAAAGCCTTCAAAATGGGTTGACTCGAAAAGCTTGATAAAACATAAAGTTTGAGTCTTAAAACTAGAACCCAAATTTTGTAAAGGGCTTTTTTAGTTTGTCTCTAAATAGTTTGTTATTTATTAGGGCTAGAGCATATCACTCCAACAAATAATATATTCTATGACAAAGTTTTCACCACAGTTGTATAACAAATCGTTGTCAAATTTTTAAAATTGGGCGCATTCCTTTTTTTATTTTTAAACTAAAAACATTTTATATTTTCACAGTTGGAATTTTGAACCGCAGGGAAAACTTGTTTTGGACATGAATTTGAATCTCAACTCCAACAAATTTGTGATTTCTTTATTATTAAACAGAAAAGTACTCTTTTTGGTCATGTATGTTAGCGTCAAAGTTCATTTTGGTCCCTTAACTTAATAAAAGTTCATATTGATCCTTTATCTCTTAAAAACGCTTCATTTTAGTCATTTTGTCTAATTAGCAACGGAAAAACTCACAAATCGGTCGCTAAATTCGCCGCTAGTTAGACAAAAAGGACTAAAATAAAGTGTTTGGAGAGTTAAAGGACCAATATAAACTTTTTTTAAGTTAAGGGACCAAAATGAACCTTGACGTAAGCATACGAGACCAAAAAGAATATTTTTCCTTATTAAAATGAAACCTTATTTTATTTTATTTTTAAATTAAAAAAATGTCTTTTTTTCACAGTTGAATTTTTCAACCGTGGTGAAATGTTAGGTTTTTTAATTTTAAATTGTTTAAAAAATAGCACCTTGTTTAAATTTAAATAAATAAATAGGATTCACCGTAGTTGGATTTTCCAACAGTGGTGAAATGTTTTACTCTTATTCAACAAACATAGTCTACCTTGTCATGTCTCGTTAGTTTTTACCTTACCTTACGAAAATCACATTCATTTGTTACAAAAACTGCATTGAGTCCTAACAAAATTTATTGCTCCATTAATGGAGAAACCACTAAACATGTATCATCTCCAACTCATTCACTATTGTATTATCTCCATTTCTTCACCTACGTATCTTCTCCAACTCATTCTACAACAAACGAGGTCGAACTCCATCAGTATCCTTTCCAACCCGTATGAAGAAAGGAAAGACGAAGAATGAGCTCAAAGAAGAACTTCAAACAATACTTGCAAGAAGGAAAGACGAAACTCAAATGATATTCAGTTCTTTGACTTATTCATCACGTTTCTGGTACATAAAATATCTTCACCATGCATGTAACAGTAATGTTGTTGAGATATGTTGGGTTTAGTGTTGTTGTTAAGATTATAAACCCTAAAGATTTATTTGTTGTTGTTGTTATTACTGTTGTTGTTTTGAAAGTCATTATCTTTACAAGCCCTCTTTTATGATTTTTTGTTGATTTGAGATTGATATTGAAATTTATCTGTTGTTATTATTGTTTTTGTTGTTGCTATTGAGATTGATATTGAAGGTTTTATCATATTATTTTTCGAGACAAGTGAAATGTTTATTGTTGTTGTTGTTATTGTTCATTTTTTTAGCTGCATTATACAAAATAAGATGGTATGTTCTTGTTTTTTATTTGAAGGAAGGACATATGTGGAAATAAATGTCTCAGCATGTGTGCAACATCTGGCCCTTTTCAGCAGGCCAATGTTATAGTTGTTCTGCATTTTATTGTTTGGTTGATTCAATCAGATTTGTTGCAGATTTGTTGCTATCTTTTAGAAATGGATTTGATATTTGAAAAACAAATCTTAACATAATATCTTACAATTTTGGACGTGATCAAATGGCCATTGGAAAATTCCATAATCAGCATTGCTATATAAGGAGACTTAAACCTAACGTTTGAGATGTGCAAGTATTGAAGATTCCTTGTATTAGAGTTTATTTTTGGAGTCTTTATTTGTGTCTTTGTTTGTATTCTAGCGCTTTCATTCAGATCTTAAAGCATAAAGTTTGGTTTATTTAGTTGAGTCGTAACTCAACAATCTTTATTCTGATTATTGTAGTTAATCACTTGGGACTAGTGATGCAGAGAACGTAAAAGGAGTTCTCATATTTTGGGGGAATATTAAATATAAATTCATTGGATAATATTAAGAATAGGTTGTGAACAAGGTGTGTTCATGTAAGACTAAGTGTACTAATACTATCGATAGTGAATTTCCTTTCTTGGGTTAGACGCTCCTAAATAAATGTGTGGTTTACATTAAATTATTGTGTTCTTTAGTTCCTTCTGCTTTATTATCTTGTATAAGTTAAAATGTCATAACTTGGCTATGCACATTGTCTCAAATATCGTGTACAACATATGTCCCCAAGAATAGAATTTCAATTGACATCAGAGCAGGCACCTTGTTCTGTTCGGGTGAGCTCCATGGAAGATTAATTTTATTTAGGTAGAAAACACTAAAGTGAAGGTACATGAAACACAAGAAAGTAGGGATTGAATTGGGTTTCTATATTTGAAAATTTTTTCTTCCCAAACTAACAAGAATGAAACAAAAACAAAAATAAATGAACACAATTATTTTTATCATGGTTTGCTATTAACAAAGTTAATCCAATCCACCCGCCAAAGTGATTTTTCCTTTCTCAACAAGGACTTAATATACTATAATCAAACTGATTACAAACCACAAAGACTACCTGTGAATGTCTTCTTGAGAAATTATGACTATACCCTAGTCTCTCAAGGAACAATCAACTCAAAGGTTGAAATACAAAGAGGTGTGTTTACAAGATACTTCTAAGAAAACAAATTTATACAAGTTGAAATAAAATAATAGACACAAAAGTGTTTTTGGAAAGTTAATGAATAAAAGTTCCTTGCTTTATAACTCTTTACAAAAAAATAAAAATGAATCAGAGAATTTTGTGCAAAGTTTATTTTCAATGGTGCTAAGTTATTTCTTTATTCTTTCAAGTCTTCCTTATATAGCCAAATAAATATTTGTTAGAAGGTAGAATAGGAATTCCAAATTACAGCTGCATTCTTGCATAAAAATTAGTGTGAGTGGTAGATAACACTGTACCATATTATAGTCCTTGTGCCACAAAATCATTATAGTGGAAGTAATATTTGATCTTGTACCATGTACTATTTACTCATGTAAAACCTTTTGATCTTATCTTCTAATCTTCAGAGGCTTAAGAATAAGTGTTGGTGAAGCATGCTTAGAAGTATCAAAACATAATGAGAGTCTTCAGAAACTTGTCTTCAGAGTCTTCAGATTTTGTTCAGCAGAACCTTGTCTTCAGAGTCTTTGGAACATGTTCTTCAAAACCTTAGAACTTGAGAGCATATAATCCTCAGAACCCTGTCTTCAGAGTCTTCAGAACTTGTTCATCAGAACCTTGTCTTCAGAATCTTCAGAACTTGTTCTTCAAAACCTTAAAACTTGAGAAGTCCTCTGAAGCTCTACCATAAAAGTCACAACCAAAATCTCTAGACTAACGTTCATCATAACCATTGTTTAGAAGCATTCTAGAACTTGGAAATGTCTTATAACACATACTTTGTATCTCTCCAGAGTCAGAGTGTGTTGATTCCAGAAATTGATGATGTCACACACCATTCTATCAGAGTCGGAACTTGTTAGAAAAAGCTACACACTAGACAAAACCATTAGGGTACAAAATTGTTCTCTAACAAACAGTGTATTGTTATTGT